TTAATCCTGATAAAACAGGAAAATCTTTGTCGTGCAAACTGAAAGGATCTCGTAGAATGCGAGTAGGTGATTATCGTGCGATTTATGAAATAGATAATCTAAGATGATGAGATAGTAGTAAGCTAAAGGTATTCGAATGAAAAAACAACTGTATTAGTTCACTAACGACAGAAATAACGAAGTATTTGTATGTGATCTTTCACGTGTGCAACGAAGAAAAAGAAGAGAAGAGAATCCAAAGGAGGGCATGATGAGCTGGTTGACTGGAAGATTTGGCAATTTGGACGCCAGTTGATGGCACATTCGCCGGCTTAAGTAGTCTTCGTGTTTATCAGCGAGCTTCATTGGACACGACCGAACTCGTAAGCACCCTTCACCCCTCCCCGTGGATACGAGTTTGATAACGGAGAATTAAGTCGGCAGATTAGCAGTTCAACTTAACAAATTTGCCGCTTCGTAGGTACTAGGCTGCTTAACTTTCAGCTTAATTCAATTACTGACGCCAGCCGCGTTAAAAGACGAGCCCTTTAAATGGTCCCATTGGAGACGAAAAATCGCCCCGAGAATGCTTCCTTCCAGGATAAAAAGAAGAAGGGACTTTTAACGGGGAAGCAGGTTAAGGGTAATAGCGATTGTTAAGTTCGAACGTAAAGTGTGTGTTAAAAACAGCGATTCGTGCAGTTTTACGCGAAAGATTAGAAATAATTGAATAATTTGAGAACATCGTTAAAAGATACTTTTTCCTCTTCAACTTTCAATTTCTCTTACGAAGTCACGAAAGTAGTGTGAATATACGTAAAATGGGATGAAATTTTCAGTCATGAAATTCTTATCTTTTTATTCTTCTATAAATTTGATTAAATGTCACGTTAAATATTGAATTTTATTATACATCTTTCGATTAGTTTTCAAAATTTTTTGTATACGTCACCTAGTATACCAATCCTTCTAATTTCTCAAAAAAACTCAAGTCGTTAAGTTTAATTTTAAAAGAGTTATACTGTTCTAAAGAGTGTCCGAATGTTAGTGAGAGTCACTGTATATAAACGCTGTGATAAATGAAGATTGAATAACGATCGTCTCTTGTCAGTTTTGCAAAGTAAACATTGGCAATTATTATTCTAGGGTAATTCCGGGAGAGCCGGACCAAGCAGGTATTTCCTGCATTATCCGCCATATGTGGAACGCGTCAGTATTCTTTTGTTTTACATTTGTTTTACGGAAAGCGATCGAGCGTGGCTCTCGGTGTTTTTTGTTCCATATCTGACGGATAATGTAGGAAATACTTGCCTGGTCCGTTTCTCTCGCCGGTCCATTTCTCCCGAAATTACCCTACCGTAATTACAAATAAAGCAACTTTTGCAAACCTCGTGTAAATAATAAGTTTCTAAAGGCCCGATGTTTTTTTCATTCAAACTATAGTAAATATTTCTCACAGAGGAAAATACGACGTGTATGAAGCAGACAAGCACTTATATGGTGTACATAAATAAAGTGCCAGGAAGTGTAGGATCGACAGACAAAAAAATCAATACACCGTGACGACGTAATGGTCAGCTTTAACGACACAGTAACCCTGGCCTCTGATTCATCAATGCCGTCAAATGTAACAGTGTTTTGACTATCAGCAGAATGAGCATAACAATTAAGCTGAAACAAACAAGTAAGCCACAGTGTATCTTCATTTTTTTTTGCCTGTAGAAGCTTGTATTTTACATTTGTTCTAACAATAGCGATAATCTTTAGGAATAAATCGAATTTAATAGAATTTACTTTGAAATTTGTTCTTACTATTCGTTGGCAAAAATTAAGTGGCGTTTGTAAAATTTTTATAATTTGAAGACAGGGAATTGAATAATTAATGTAATATTTGAATAAATTTACAGGAGAATAAGAAAATATAATTTTACGACTGAGAATTTTATTAATAGAAGAGAAATTGTTACCAAACTTATTCTCAGAGTTTGTACAAATTTGGTAAAATAATATTGGTTACTAATTATTCTTTAATTTTCATTTGAAAAAATTTAAACTAATTTTTAACAATGACTTAAATTTAAATAACTCGATAACTGAAAATTTTATTCATAAAAAGGAGGATAGTGAAATTACCACTTTCTTTATTTCACGAAAATTCACGCATTTAACAGCACAGCTTATCAAAGTTCATAGAAAAAGCGTAAATTTTAATTTTTCAATTTGTAAAAATGTACAACGAATACTTGGATGATTACAAATAGTTAATTTCAATTATTACTATCCCATCTAACTAAATTTCCATACGCACATCAAAATCACATTATCACATTGCACAACTTATCACCGTAAACGCACGACTGGAATAGAATCAAAAGATGTCACATAAACGCTATCTATGAACCCTCAAAACACATGCTCCCAAAGGAACCGAAGCATAACCAAATCAGCAATACCCATATAATCCTCGAACGAACGAGCACAGGTAGAACGAAAGCGATCCACTTTGGCAAACAGATACCTTACATGACGAATTTTCACTAGCATCCTAGACACGCGCTTCAATCCCCGACCTGAGATTCAGCAAGAAAACTCTTGCGCAACAAGCTGAACCAACACTCGTTTCACGAGAGAACAACTTGACCAGCGTAAAACGAAAGGTGAAATGAAAGAAATAAGAAGAGACGGAGTGATCGGTGGTGGACACATTTGGCTCAGTGCCACGTTTCACAAAGTGAATCAGCCTAATCGTTCCTCACCTAACATGCCATAGCCACTGTTGAACGGTTGCACCACGCTTCAGTCACATTCAGCCGCTCGTAACCGCGCAAAGCACTTCTAGCTAAAATGAATCGATTACAACGTGGACATTGGATGGTCGGTGGATTAGTTTGGAAGGAATTGTTGAGTGTGTTGATGGTGCTTTCGATGGTTGTGAGTGGTTTAGAGGGGACCTCGACAACAAAAGTGGTGACGAAGTTTGGCCCAGTTATTGGAATGTGGAGCAGGAGTACCAGGGAAAGACTGATCGCACAATATTTGGGGATCCCATATGCCGAGCCTCCTGTTGGTGATCTGAGATTCAGGGTGAGTAGAAGGGTTTTTCTATGTTTGGAAATTGGACGAGGGTGAGGGTTGAAGGATTATGAAAATGAAAATTTCATGAAGTTGAAAACTGGAGGATATGAGAATGGAAATTTAATGAAGTTGAAAACTGGAGGACATGAGAATGGAAATTTCATGAGGTTGAAAACGGAAGAGTTTGTAAAATTGGAAATTGGATAAGGTCGAAAATTAAAATGATTAATAAAATTGGGAATTGTGTGAGGTTGAAAATTGAAGGATTAATGAGACTGGAAATTGAAGGATTAATGTAACTGAGAGTTGGGCCTAAAGTTGGAAAGTTGTAGTAGACATTGACAATTGACATCGAAATTCGACAAAAGAAATTGTGTATTTATTAATTGTTTATTTATTTGGAAAAATCTATCGTTAGTTCAAGGAACAGGATTTGAACATTGCTGTATTTTTTTGCATTGTTCATTGTACATTCTTAATTAAATTCGCAATGGATACTTCTGCAATTTTTATGAGATTAGAACAGAGATTTGTTAATTGGAAATTTGTAATGCTTAAGAACTAGAGTGGAATTTGTAATATTTTTAGTAACTTCAGAGAGTTAAAGATTGTCCTTGAGAATCACATATAAAAAAGTTCAAATATTTATGCTTAGACAATATTATTCACCTCATTAAGTAAACTTGCAGTTATATTTAAATTTATTCACCAGAATTATTTATGCATTCTTGAAACAAGCTATTACTATAAGTTTATATAGAATTCCTAGATTAAATTATAATCATTTAAAATATCATCAATTGATTAAATAAAATCAATATTAATATTCTACAGACCAGTTTTATTCAATCTACAAGAAGTACCCCACTTTCGTCACAATTTTTCTCTAAATCAATATTTTAAAATTGAATTGCCTTATACGTTCTGTTGAGTTTCATTTAAATATTAACACAAAAATATCGCAGAATACCAATTTATAATTTAGGCCAGAGATAAGTAATCTGCAACTAACTGAATTTATTCATAAAGTGACAATTTTATGCATTTACGACCTTTTCGATAAGATTGTATGGTTTCAGTAGAAACAATATAATAATGACAATAGTTACGACTCCTAGATACACTTTCAGAAAATAAAAAAAAATAAAAATATATCCATTGTTGAGAATGAAAAATTGCACTTTATAAAATTAGTTTTAAATTAATAAATTACATGCTTTTATCCCTTCCACTGTCGCAGAATTTTCTACGTAACTCGCGGGGCAGACGGTGGACGTTCAATCAGGAACGCAAAATCATTTGTTTCGAGATTCCAAATTAAAAAAAAAATTTTAAATTAAGATTCATTATTTTAAAAATTAAGGTGGAAGTACGCAAAGAACAGGAGTCAAGGCTTAAATTAAGATGAAAGTGTACCAAAAAGGTCCAACAGTACAGGAGAAGATCTAAATATGGTTAGCCAGCAAATTTTCAAAGCGCCTATAAGCAACGAAAGCACTATAATGGTTAAATTTGGATTAACGGGCTGTCAATCTTTCCTGCAGCAAAAAAGAGGTGGCTCATCAATGATTTAGACGGTTTGCTTGAAATAAAGCACTGCTCGTGTTAACCCTACTGCGTTCTTCGTTTTGACTGTACACTTAATACTTTTGGGTCACAAAGGACCTAGGATCTTATGTGCAATAATTTTTCTTTCCAACGCGACATATGAACCTAGACAATAAACGTTTAAAATAATGTTATGGAACGTAAACATGATAACAGCAAAAATGACTAAAAATATAAAAAGGCGGTGGGTCAAAAAAGACCCGAAGACAGCTCTAGGGTTAATACTCCTTTATGTTTTATGATACTCCATTGACAGAGTCCACAGCCCTGGAAGCGTACGTGGAATGAGACCTACTCGGCAACGGAATATGGCAACATGTGCATTCAGCTAGGGAAAGGAGGGCAAATTCATGGAAACGAAGATTGTCTCTATCTGAATATTTACGTACCCATAGTAAGTACAATATACTGTATTCTATTTATTTGTTATTTCGGTAGTTATTTAACTCCTACGTCAATAATCGGGTACCGTTTTGCACATTTTCTCACTTAAAATATTTCATCTTCCTTCTTATTTGTTATTTGGTGTTTGCTTCAAGTTTAGAATTTCTGTTCTTAGATGACTACTAAAATTGTACGATAAAGTAGACGACAATTGTGGTTATTAACGTAAGGATTAAAGTATTCGTCGAATTATCTTCTATGATTTATGGAGATGAATGTTAGGTAGCAATTGAATGTTTACAAGGATTTAATTCTAAGTCAGACTCGTGTCACATATTATGGTTAAGGTGCGACAAAAGCAGCCGTACTTAGCAAGAAAGATTCATCTTTGTTGCAGCTATAGTTTTAACTTGTAAATCTGAGAATTGTCAAATGTGAATAATGTGCAATATTTTAGCTTCTGTTACCTGACGTAGTATTAAAACAGTGTACAGCTAACGCTTGTATGCTGAGCTACTAAATGAATCGTAAAGCAGGGGTTGTGTACGATCCATTCAGAAGTCAAAGTGACTATCTCCAACAAATTAAATATTTGTTTTATTTATGACGAGTTAAGCACCAAGCATGTGATTTGATACTAAAATTGGAAGAATTTGAAAATGTGGAGTTAACCGTTTTGCCTTCTGAGTGGCTCGTATATGAAGAAATGTTTAACGCAGTATTAGAGAAGCGATATGGAACGCCGGTGAGTTAAAAAGAAATAAGTATTCTTTCGAAGAGGAAAAAAAAGTGACAGAGAAACCACAGCTAATAACTGTGAAAATTGAGAGGAAAAGGAGAAATTCTTGAATGAATAGTTGATCTCGATAAAGTAGGAGAAATACTAAAACTTGATTGCTGCTGAATTTGAAAGCTGCGATCGCATTCGGAATCGTCGCTGGATATATTGCTTTCGAGATGGTGCACGCGTAAAACGCAGAATTCACACGGAACTCTAAACAAGTATAGAACGAGTAGAAATGTTCGTTGAAATGCGAGCTCGATTGGATCACATGGTCCACTCGCGATTTAATTAAATCTAAACGATTCAAGGTGAAGTATTTTTATAGTTTCATTTGAAATAGCACTCTCTAAAAGAGCAATAGTTTTTTCCACTTTTTTTAATGACAGGGAAAATCAAATGTCTAGAGGCTGTAGTGAGAGAGTCTGAAATTGCACTTGTTTAATGACAAGTATAATCCTTTTCATTATGCAGGATGGTTCATAAGTCGCTTTAGTATTTAAAAATTGAATACCTTTTTCTATTATATATTCTGAAATTTCTGTTTCAAATTTTGGAAATTTATTATGGAAAAGTCCACTATAATAACAATCTTAGGCTAATTAAAGACTGGACATAAAAAAGCTTGTAAGTGTCACTAGTAAACGAAAATTTTATTTCTTAAGAAAATATATTAACATTTACTTTTTACACGTACCTTGCTACTTTATTTTTATTTTAATATTTTCAAATATTAGTCCAGTCTTCAATTTTTTAGCCTATGAGACAGGTAATTGTCTCAATGTTTCACGCAATGATGTATTAATGTTTTCATTATTAGAAATGAACTTTTCTCGAATCTTTCCTTTCACTATTAACCACATGAAAGGAACTGTAAATAGTTTTTAATGTTATGATAATCACCATTTTTATATATTCATACTAAAAGATTAACGAAGTATTATTTTACATAGAAATTTCGTTTTTACATTATGATATTTAGTTTTTCACTTTTCACTGATATTCACTTTTAAACTATATTCCAATGTGTCACGGTACTTAGATTAACATTGCATAATAAGATCGTTTCGCATTTAGCAAGATAAGACTGTCCTTTACCTAGAAATATTATAGTGTGTAAATTTTTGTAAATTAAGCCACCTATGAATTATTTTTGGTCTTTCGCTTCAAACTGTCTAAAATATACTTCGCTGATGTCGAGAATAGCACAAATCATTCAGACAGTCCGAAATAAAATGCTTACTGAGAAGTAAAAATATAGTCTTGGATGATCACTCTCTTTTTTCATTTTTCATGTCACGTCATCCTGTCATCAACTTTCTAATTTTCCACTGTACCTGGGCTTAACCCTTTCTTGGCGAAATTAAATAAATCACAATAAAAAGATGTATTGCATCGGATGTTTCTTTATTTTTCAACGAGGAACTCGATAAAAATAACGACTTTTAGAAAAATCTGCAAAATGTTTGAGGAAATTTTTGCACAATTTTCTTGTCTCAAGAACTCTTGTTTTTTAAGAGTTTTTATTTTATTTTTTCCTTAGCTATCCACAGAATGTCAACTGTAATATTTGGCTACTTCAAGGACACCCGGTGTGTTACACATTTCGAAGTTGCGTTTGTTTATTGTTGCTGTTAACTAGGATTATCGACTTGTTACTGTACATACAGTGACGTTGTTAATGGAAATGTTTGTAGATTTCAGAGAAACGAGAGGAGAACAGAGAACTTCCGGTGATGGTATTTATACACGGCGGAGGATACGCCATTGGATCCGGCAGCGTGTTTCCGCCAAACTACTTGATGGAACAAAATGTAATCCTAGTCACGCCCAACTATCGTTTGAATATTCTGGGTAATGATAATTTCATAATTGAACCACCGAAATTTACAGGGTCATTCGCTTGTAGCGAACAAACAAGTGCCTTTTTAATTTCGTTTGAACGTGTCAATACCCCAAAAGGTAAAAGTTTCTTCTTGTAATTACTGGTCACTTTGTATAAAATTACCTTTCGTAGTTTCCACTTCTGAAACATTGTTTTCAACGTTTAATTTCTCGTCATTAGTTCATATTTCCTCGTAATAACACTTTTACAGCGAATTCTTCCTATCGTTATCGAACACCCTGTATAAATAAGTACCATTCACAAGTCCCACTTTTAAAACCCAGTTTCTAACGATTAAATCCTCGTCATTGACCTAGGTTTCCTCAGCACTAGCAGCAAAGCGAGTCCAGGTAACTATGGCCTAAAAGACATTCGAATGGCGTTACAATGGATACAGGAGAACATTGCATCGTTTCATGGTGATCCAAATTCCGTGACGCTATGGGGCCACAGTTCTGGTAGTATCACGGTGCACCTGTTGGCCTTGAGCAGCAAAACGGACGGACTATTCCACAGGTACATTCTGCAGAGCGGGATTGCTCTGTGCTCATGGGCTCTGAATACACCACGTTGGGCGAGACTCGCGGGATTTCATGTAGCAAGGACACTCGGTTGTCTTCCTGAGAAAGAAAAAGGGGAAGAAGAGGAGGATGAAACAACGAGTGAAGGTCATTTCGAGGGAAACTCGACGACAGTGAAACCTGAAGAGACGACTGAAAAAGAGGAGAACTATCTCGACGAGGAAGAAGAGTATGGTGAAGAGCAGGAAGAAGAGATGATGTCGTGTTTGAGAAACATTGAGGCCAACAAGATCGTCCCTGTACTTTTGGATTTGGTAAGAAATCATTTTGAGTATTTTTAGTGGTTTTATTAATTGTGCAGGAACCAACGACGAAAAACTATTGAGGGACCTAACGGGAATCGAACCCGGGACCTTTGGCTTACCAAAGCCGAGGCTTTGCGCGGTACGCCAACCACTCCGTTAGCTATTCCCCCGTGTCGGTTTCCTATTTTTGGGAATGAAGGCCCCGATTCTACAATTGTTTCTTCACTTGTTCAAGTTTCGTAATTTAAAAAAATGCCAGGCTTATTTTTAAAGTAAACGAGAATATTACAAAAAAATTGTTTTACAGCTCTGTGAATGGGAAATAAGAATTCGTAGGAAATAATAAAGGGTTAAGGGAGTATTGAGTTAGGATAATGAGATTCAATTTGTTGTAACTTGTTAGGTTACAGGACTTTATTTTTATCCTAATCTAAACTATTCAATTTGAAGTTTTCACGAGGAATAGTTAACATTAGGATAATATTAAATAGTAACGAAACAGTATTAAATTTGATTTTAAACAGTGCATTTTTGTATAACATTAAATAATAGCGAATTAACAGTTAATTTCATGTATCTATTACACAGTACATGTGGAGGAACAATCCCTGCTGCTTGTTTGGACCCACCATCGAAGAGGATTCAGAAGACGCCATCGTAACGATGCCCCCTTTGGTAACGATCAAAAATCGCCTCTACAAGGACATACCATTTATCATGGGAGTCGTTCAAGACGAAGGACTAATCAAAACAGACGGTAAATTAAACAAAAATTAACAATTACTAATGCAAAAAATTCTAACACCACCATATTACAATTACGAGTAATTTATTAAAACAAGTATCTAGCCATTCCATATATACTTCCAATTTCAGAAAATTAAAAGACCATATATTCACACGAGATGGTCGATAAATTAAATCAACGATTTATTTAACATTTACGTTGTTAATTTTTACATATCGAATCTTAATAAATAATTGAATCTTAAACTTCGAATAATAAAAAAAAAAACTATAGAATCTTCCATTTTCATTGAAGCTTTCTTACTTTTCAAACAGAAAAATCAAGTTACACTCACCTGAGGATCGTGCAAACCACGATTCAAAGTCTGATAATTTACGAAATATTATTTCAAAATTGTTTTCTCTTCAAATACAACGATTATTCTCACGAGATACGATTCTAACCTTGAATGAAATTATTTAAGAAGTTCATCGTTTTTATTCGCAGTTATCCTGGTGCACGAGTCCATGCAAGACGAGCTGGTCGACAACTTCGATAGGTACTTGCCCCTCTTAACGAATTATTATCAACTAATTTCGAACACGAGCAAGTTTGTGACCGCAATTGAAGATTTCTATTTCGGTGGGAACGTTTCTCGATCGACGCTGGTGCAAAATATCACAGAGGTGCGTCTTCTTCTTTATGTATAGACGGCATTTAAAAAATCAGAAGAAAAATTTCCTGACTTGCAGTGAAATGTAATGGGGAGAAGTTGAGAATGAAAAATTAGGAATGTTTATCCTATTCGAACGAAAATTTCAAATACAGTTTTTCTTTTCTCTTTTGAAGAAAAGTTCTTAGAGTCTGAGTTTAATAATTAATCACGATGGAATGGGAAGTAGTAGAAAAGATTTGATGTTAGACGTCTATATAAAGATCCCTTTAACGGATTTTGCAAACTTTATTCCTGAGTTTTTAAATTTTACAGGTGCTTACCGATGCTGCATTTTTCTATGCAGCGCAACAAATGTTGAATTATCAATCGGAAGTGATGAATTCCAACAGTTATTTTTATTTGTTCTCGTATCAGGGTACTTTTAGCAACACTTTCGGCACCGGATCTCCGGTTCACTACGGTGAGCACAGAAATCATTTTAACACGAGTTCATATGAGCCCCTCATTTGCCACATCGGTTATCTCCGCAACACAAAAAGTAGAGAA